GTTCTAGCGATGGACTTCTTGAGACAGGTAACCGCGATCCCTATGCCATCATTTAGCACTGTTTACATTCTTGATAAGGGTTCACTGTGCATGGTACCGACATTGGAGACTCCCAATGAGCGGTCAACCGAGGCTAAGACATTGTCGGCTACGGAATTAGCTAAGGGAGTGAAAAGGGGAGAACTGGCATTCTTAGCCGTACTCAAGGTGGATGACGAGACGGAAGGCCCGACGGACATACCGCCTCTTATTCAAACCGTCCTTGAGGAGAACAAGGACGTGATGCCGGTGAAGCTACCGGATAAGCTACCACCTAGGAGGGAGGTGGATCACAAGATCGGGTTGGAGCCGGGTGCTAAACCGCCTACAATGGCACCCAATCGCATGTCCCCAAGTGATCTCGAGGAGCTACGTCGCCAACTAGATGAGATGCTAGAGACCGGGAGGATGAGATCGTCGAAGGCACCTTACGATGCACCAGTGCTATTCCAAAAGAAGCCTGATGGGACGTTAAGGATGTGCGTGGACTATCGGGCGCCAAACAAGGTAACAATCAAGAACCGCTATCTGATTCCTTTGATTGCTGATCTATTTGATAAACTTGGTGGAGCCAAGATATATACGAAGATAGATTTGCAAAAGGGTTACTACCAAGTGTGAATAACGGAAGGGGATGAGCCAAAGACTGCATGCGTTACACGTTACGGCTCATTCGAATGGTTAGTCATGCCCTTTGGACTAACCAATGCACCGACAACGTTTTGCACACTAATGAACAAGATCTTTCAACCTTATTTGGACTTGTTCATGGTGGTTTACATGGATGATATTGTGGTCTATAGCAACTCAATTTAGGAGCACGTGGAGCACCTACGCATTATCTTCCGAGTACTCCGAGAGAACGAACTTTATGTGAACATGGAGAAGTGCACGTTTGCCACGAAGGAAGTACACTTTCTTGGTCACATCATTGGACATGGAAAGCTTATGATGGACATGGGAAAGATCAAGGCAATCGTGGAATGGGAGGCGCTGACCAAGGTAACTGAACTACGCTCTTTCCTTTGTTTGATAAACTATTACTGGCGGTTCATCGAGGGGTATTCCAAGAGGGCAACCACATTAACGGACTTACTCAAGAAGGGGACAAATTGGGAGTGGTCCGACCGATGTCAAGAGGCCTTTGATGACCTGAAGGCCGCGGTAAGCCAAAAGCCTGTTCTAGCTCTACCGGACTTTGGCAAACCGTTCGAGGTAGAGACTGATGCCTCCGACTTTGCCATAGGAGGAGTTTTGATGCAAGAGAGGCATCTGATAGCATTTGAGAGCCGCAAGTTGAACGAGACGGAGCAGCGTTATACCGTGCAAGAGAAGGAGATGACCGCAGTGGTTCATTCCTGCGCGTATGGAGACACTACCTCTTAGGCGCACACTTCATCATCAAGACGGACAACGTGGCAACACGCTATTTTCAAGCTCAAAAGAAGTTGTCACCCAAGAAAGCTAGGTGGCAAGATTTCCTAGCAGAGCTCGACTACACTTTGGGGTACAAGCCGGGGAAAGCCAACGTTGTAGCCGACGCGTTTAGTAGGAGGGGACTTGATCGGGCGCATCAAGGAGGGACTTGAACACGACCCTATGGCTAAGGAGCTGATGAAGTTAGCCAAGGAGGGCATGACCCTACGATTTTGGGAAGAGGACGGTCTTCTCTACACAAAGGGGCATCGTCTCTATGTCCCAAAACGGGGGAGTTTGAGAAGAGATCTCGTCAAGGAGTGCCATGACACGAGGTGGGCTGGTCATCCTGGCCGAAAACGCACGCTGGCACTTGTCGAGACCGCATACTTTTGGCCACAGATGAAGGAAACTGTGGAACTCTATGTGAAGACATGTCTATTGGAGCCATTCCCTACTCTGGAGCGTCCGTGGGACTCTATTTCTACGGACTTCATTAGTGCCATACCGAAGTCTGATGGGTTTGGATCTATCATGGTGGTGATAGATCAATTTTCTAAGTATGGGACGTTCATCCCGTGCACGAAGGATTGCACAGCTGAGGTGGCGGCACAGGGGTTCTTCAAGAACGTGGTGAAGTATTGGGGGCTACCGAGGAGCATAGTGAGTGACCGAGACCCCCGCTTCACGGGCCGACTGTGGACGGAGTTGTTGAAGTTGCTTGGGACACAACTCAACTTCTCTACAAGCTTTCACCCGCAAACCGATGGGCAACCCGAACGGGTGAATGTCTTGCTAGAGTGCTATCTTAGGCACCTTGTGAGTGCCAACCAACGAGATTGGGCGAGACTCTTGGACATAGCCCAATTCTCCTATAACTTACAACGGAGTGAGTCTACGAGACGGAGTCCATTTGAGCTTGCAACGGGGCAACAACCACTGATTCCACACACATTGGTGACCTCACTCCACGACGAGAAAAGCCCAGTAGCATTCAAGATGGCGAAGTCCTGGGAGGAACAAACCGATCTAGCTCGTTTGTGTTTGGAGAAAGCACTCAAGCAGATGAAGAAGTGGGTGGACGAGAAGAGGCGGCCAAAGGAGTACACCGTGGGGGACTTAGTCTTTGTGAAACTCATGCCACAACAATTCAGGGCATTGAGAAGCTTACACAAGGGCTTAGTCCGTAGATACGATTGGCCATTCCCGATAATTGTTAAGGTAGGAAAAGTCTCATATAAGCTTGACCTACCTAATACTTTGAAGATTCATGGGGACGAGGAAGACCCAAGCCGAAGATTATCAAGCTGAGCACCACCCGTGGTCACTAAGTCTTATGCAAAAGAGATCAAAGACATGCTCGCAACAAAGGAGGTTCGTAAGAGGGGCGTTCCACGCCAAAATCATTATTTGATCAAATGGAAGGGACTACTCGAGTCGGAAGCGACGTGGGAAGCTGAAGAAGACTTGTGGCAGTTCCGGGACAAGCTCGAGGTGCACAAGGCGATGAGGACGTCGCCAAGTTCGGTGGGGGAGAATGTCACGAGTCTCCCATATTTTGCAGATATGCCGCGACATGGTAGGCTAATACACCGCGACATGGAAGTTCATTACGCTGCAACATACTTGTGACAAAGTGCCAAGCTGGAGTCTAGAATTTCCCAAGATAAAAGGGCAAAATTCAGGAGGTTAAGAGAATAATCTAGACTCATGTAGATATTTGTACACTTGTATAGAGTATAGTAGAATACTCTAGAATATCATAGAGTAGTATAGAATACTCTAGAATTTAATCGTAGCCGTTAGATCAAATAGATCTTGACCATCCATTGAGGAGGAGGACAAATATAAATAGCCCTCAAGGTGGTTCATTTGTACACATCAAAGTTTCCAAGCATTCAATAAAGTTCTTAAGCTTTCTTCAAGTGATCACTTGCCTTTACCACCTTCCCTGGCCAAGCACTTAGCACACACAACACTAAGGCGTTGTTCGAGGCTGACTTAGCTATTGCGAGGGGCAAAAAGGGGCTAAGGTCGCACGTGAGCTTGTTAAGGGAACAAGTCTGTTACATACTGGAGGCCCGACACGATCGTGCCTGCTAGGGAGGCAAGCCATGCCTGGGTACGAGATAGGCGGTTACTCCGCAGGCACGGACGCCAGGCACGCCGTGCCTGCGCTGTAAGTCCTTGTTTGAGCCGATTTTCACCTGTTTTCTATAAATAAGGCCTTCATATCCCTGTTTTGGGGTTACAAAATTTAGAGAGAGAGGCCTAGGGACAGATTTCTACGTGTTTTTCCGCTTTATTCTTCAAGACCCTGAGATTATTTGTAAGTTCCTACTTTTTAATTAATGACAATTAATTATGTTCATCCCAATTCTGTTGATTCTTCAATTATGAATTGTGAGTAGTTTTAATTAGGAATTTGGGATTGATGAAGGAGTTAATCACGATGTATGGCTAAATTCATAATGGATTAATTGTGTTTGAATGTCGTTTAATTTGTGTTTGAATGATTTAATTGATACTCTTGTAACCTAAATTCATAAGGGATTAATTGTATGAATGTCGTTTAATTTATGTTTGAATGATTTAATTGATACTCATGTAACTTAGAACTGCAGCTATAATTACAATTGCTTGTAGAATAAATTAAGAGAGATCTAGTTTATTCTAGTACACCTTCACACACACTTAATGGGATGAAAGGGGACAATCTAAGGGAATGTTTGGAACTCCCAACTCAGTTTTTATAAGAGTAAATTAGAGCACCAGAATCACTTCTGCATTTTCATCCAAACACTTTAACTTCTGATTCTGCTCCTTGAAGGAGCAGAAAAAGTTTTAAGAATTAGATCCAAACATACCTTAAATTTTAGGGAAAGTTCCTGAAATAGGACTAAAATAGTTTGAAAATTCCAAAATAGGACTGCCATGTTTTATATTCCCAAAATAGGAGTAATTATTGCCATGTTTGGAAAATACTGCCATGTTTGAAGTCTGGTACTGCCAAAACATGACGGTAATTAGTCCTATTTTGGGAATAAAAACATGACAGTCCTATTTTGGAATTTTCAAACCTTTTTAGTCCTATTTCGAGTAATATTCTCTAACATTTAAAAGGCAGGGAGTACCATATTGTGTACGCTGTATAATGTAATTTTACATTTATTTTATTCGAGTAAAATAATGAGTTTTTTTTCGAATTAATGCTAATTAATTAATTAATTACGAAAATAATGTTGGGTTAAAAGTATTTACCGATCTACTGCTTGGTTTAATCATGGCCGGGGAAAGTCGCCAAACGGTTAGGCGACTTATAAGTCGCCATCCGGTTTGGCGACTTATAAGTCGCTCAACCGTTTGACGACTTTCCCCCTGCATCTGCAAAAAAACAGTAAACTCAAACCAGACACACACCATTACAAAACATACAACACCCCTGCTCACAAACACATACAAAACATCTGCTCTCAACAACATAAAAAAAACATATATACCCGATACAAATAGGATACAAAACAGAAGATTCATAACCAGTAAAACACAGTACAATCATCCAATATTCATAACACAGTACATTCATCTAATATTCAAAACCGAACACATCAACACATCATAAAAAGTTTGCAGGTGGAAATACGTAAAATAAAGTGAATTGTTCCTACAACATCCAGTGTACAAGAAAAACTCCAATACAAAAGACAAAGTAGAAGTTCTCATGGTCTTCTTGATCGTCTTGGTCATGGACATATTGTTGTTGCTTCCTACGCCTACGCAGTTGTCGTGGTTGAAGAACCACTCTCTCATGCTGAGTCTGGGATGATGAAGCTGTCGCTGCACTAGATGTCGATGCCATATCCTGAGATGGGGGCATATGTATAAGATGGCCGTAGTCGACTCGCCCCAACACATATGAACACAAGGAGGCAATGCCCGTCAGAGCCTGTCCGTACATGTCCACGTCATGCGTATCACTCACTGTGGCAGTAACCCGCTGATGTATATGTTGCAAAGCTCGTGTCTGAAATATGAAACAGAATTATAATTAGTTAGAAATAAATAAAAGTATTAAATAAAGAAAATGACTTACTTTAGTAATTCGTAATATACTCAACGTCAAATGCAAAGCCAAGGAGCTAGGCTGATAATGGTGAGTAAGGAGTCTGAACGAAGGAGACACAAACAAACGAGTGATGTTGTAATACCATCCCATGTAGTCTCCCGAAACAGATGGGACTAATGTCGGTGTCCCAGCCACAACAAGCTCAGCTCGCCTCTCCCACATAGTGACGTATTGGACATGTCTGAGTGCCCAATCCTCCCTATGCTTCCCACGCCTATCCAGCCTATGAAGCTCTACATATGTGTCGATAGGTGCTGGAATGACATGCTCATACCCAAACTGTCACAATACACGATCAGGAAAATGAAGCTAAAAAATGTCAAAACATATCAACGACACACATGCTCGCCATATGTGAGAATGCTCTCGTCCAGCGGGGGGCAACTCTGCAAACATCTCAGCTGTATAAGGCATCCATGTAATCTGTTTCATAAAGATACAAAATTAGTATTTATGCTATACATATTATAGTTAATGTTATATTACGCACACCATACCTGATCCTCAGACATTCGATCAAATGCATCCTTGTAGACACCGAGCCCAGAAGCCGATGATGTGCGACATAGATCAACAAATAGCCATCTAACCATTCATGTAGCACATATTAATATGAATATTATTAATATATTTATATTCAACATACAATAACATAAATACAAACGATTGAAAACATATCAGCAACCCAGAGGGTCCTCGCCCCGTACATGATGTGGTCCCAGCATATATGGAGGCTCATCAGGCAGTGGGTGTCCATCAATGCCATGGTATGCCACTCTAATGGGACGCCCAATGTGGATGTACTCCCATGACCAAATCTGGAGAAGAAGCAAAAATCCTCCAAGCTCCGTGCTCCCGCTCTGGCAGCCGCGACACAGATGTCTATAGAGATAAGCCAGCGTGGCACTACTCCAACTGAACTGTGCTGCTACATCAAACATCTCTAGCATAGGCAAGTACAACACCTGAATCTCATTTCCGCTCTTGTCAGCGAAAATGGAAGCTCCCATCATCCTCAAAATATAAGCCCGTGCATGTTGCTTGATCATCACCTCATCAGCGTCCAGAAGAAGAACAACGAAATGCTCCCTCAACCATGACATTCTCAGAGATGACCCCTGAAGGTCAGCCCGAAGAAGGGGGCAAACACCCAACAAATGCTCACACTCATCAACCCACTGTCGACAAGCAGTACCAGTAACAGCTCTCCCATCCACCTCTAACCTAGTCAGTACAACAACATCTCCCAAGGTCACTGGCACCTCACCAACAGGGAGGTGAAATTTGTGCGTCTCCTGCCTCCAATGCTCAAGAAGAGCAGTGAGTAGCGCTCTATCGAGAGGGACAATAGCATCCAATCTATGCAGATAATAAAAACCCGCAGCACGAACATATGCAAGTACTCTGTCGTCCACCTGCACGTGCGACAAACCACGGAGGTGCTCGCGGCACCTATCCACCTGAACATCGAGGCCACGCCACACATCCTGACTCATGCGTGTGGCCTGCAATGTCAGGACAAAACGATCACTCGGCCCGGGATCCGCTGACACCTCCATGCCTACAAAAAAAGGATATTAGTTAATTTTTACTATTTAATTTATTTATTTTGTTTAATTAATATTTTATTAATTAATTTTTTTACATTCCACGTTAGTACCAATTGTGGAGTATTACAACTAAAACCTTACCCAGTCAACCCCCCTCCATCTCTTGATGATTTCTTCGCACACGTGGCTCTATTATGGCCGCTTTGTTTACAATTTCCACATCTAACCGTTCCTCGAGGACCTTCATCCATCTCATTCTTAATACGTGTGGACTTAGGTCTTCCCTTAGCCCGAAGCATGGATGGATCGTGCACAATTTCAGGTCCATTGTAAGTCGACCAATAATCACGGTCAGGAATAGGTTTAAAGACTCTTTGATATGTAGCAGCGGATTGGGCAGATGAGAAAAAAGGATCCACAAATGGATAAGAAGACAAACTACGTTGTCTGCATACGGCTAATACATGGGAGCATGGAATCTTATATATTTCCATCTTTTTACAAGTGCAAGTACGCCATCGTAGATGGACAATTTGCTTTCTCCCACCCTTTCCCAACGTTCAGCCACCACATCCTGTTTCCACTTGGTATATCCCTCGGCCTATATCAAATGGAGTAACAGTGTGTTGCTTGACTTTCTCTCTATTCTTCTCAATCAAATCCATGATGTGTGGGGAGTAGTCGTGCCCTTCTGTCACTCTTCTTTTACTACTTTCACGCCTATTAACAAAATAAGCATTAATGCGGTAAAAGGAAACCTGGACCAAAGTGGTGATGGGCAAATATCTAGCATTTTTCATCACGCTGTTGAAGACCTCAGCCAGATTAGAAGTGATGGTACCGTATCTGTAACCGCCATCGTGGTGTAATGATCACATTTCCAAGGGAATGTTCCCCAGAAATTGTCGTGCCTCCACTCGCATTTCCCCTATCTTCTTGAACCCACCATCAAACTTCTTTTTCTGATGTTGCAGTGCGGTCCAGACAAACAGATTTTTTAGGTGAGTGTCTTTGAAATAAGTGTGCACATTTGACGCAAGATGGCAGATATATAGCCTATGGTGTGCATAAGGCTCCTCCCAAGTACTGCCCACCTCATTCATTGCCTTGACTATACCTGCATGTCGATCAGAAATGACACACAACTCCCTATGAGTGACAAACTCCCTAATGCATGCCATAAATCATGGCCAACTCTCCCCATTCTCAGATTCAACAACTGCAAAGGCCACGTGAAATATTTGGTTGTTCGCATCACTACCCATAGCCACAAGCGATGTATCATTGTACTTCCCATACAAGTGTTGCCATCAATAGCAAGTACGGGTCGACAATGCTTAAAACCATGTATTGAAGACTTGAATGCCCAAAATACTCTCTGAAACTGCATATAACTTGTGGGAGTAATAGGGGGTGGGTACCAGTGAACAACAGTTCCAGGATTGGAATGTTGGAGCGTTGTCATGAAATGGGGTAATTCAGAATATGACTTCTCCCAACCCCAAATATTTCTGCAATGGCCTTTTGCTTGCCCATCCATGTTCTCCTGTATGATACCGTATACCCGTACTTTTCTTTCAACATCTCAATGATAGTATGCACTTTAAGGGAAGGATCAGTGCGAAGAATGTCAATCACATCTTTAGCAACGAAATCTGAAGTCATTGCCACGTGATTAGTACTGTCGGTGTAGCCAACACAGGTATCAGAATGAGGTCTGGGATAACGCACTACTGTGAAGTTGTCGAGGTTTCCTTTGTTCGTTGTGGCGTGTATTCTCCAGGGGCAATCACGTTCCTTCTTCCTCTTGCACTCTGCAACCCATTTGTGTTTATCGGACTCCAACACCCGATAAAATTGGTTCCGTTTAATAGAATACAAGTTCACCATATTGATGACTTGTTCTTTGTTGTCAAACTGTTGACCAACCTCAAACTCACCTTCGGGTGTAAACCTTTTCATACCTGCTCCACTCATCCACGCATCGGTAAAGCCTTCAGGGAGATCATATATTCTAGTAAAGTGGCTAAACGGGGCAGTTGACGTGACAGTATCACCATCATCTTCATCAGATTCTGTCATGTCATCACCATTGATGTTATCATCAGCATCATCATCACTTCCTTGCCCATCCACAAATGATGCATTATTATGCAAATACCTACCCTCTTCCTCTATAACCATGTCCAGTACAACAGCATTTGAGGAGTTCTCTGCATTGACACTGCATTGACACCATGCCTAGATACAACAACATTTGATGTTGATGGAGTACCATCAACATGACATATGGATTTCTCAATGTATATCTTCAGTGTGGACATACCATCCATATGAATTATGCACCACATATTTGATACAGCTAGCTCATTAACAAGTGGCATAAGTATGCAATTTCCCCCGTTCATGGGAAATTTCATTTTCAACCGCAAAGAATGGCTCGGAGGAATCATTGCAGCTGCATGGATTTTTTTGCAGCATCTCGAGCAAGCATGCGCCACGAGAAACAATGACAAAGCCGCTTCTACCACCTTCATGGCGTATTTGGCCACCTTCCTCAAATACGTTCCCTCCCCAATGACACACGATTGGGAAGTTGGAGAAATCAATATTCTAATAAGCAAAAACGTACTCCCTCCGTCCCCTTTCAAATTTCTCGTTTTACCATATTGAGATGTCCCTATTTAATTGTCTCATACCTTATTTGGTAAAGCTTGTGTGGTTTAAAATCATTCTTACTTTATGCTTACTTTATCAATTATTATCAACTACACAAACCCACTTTTTTTAAAACTCGTGTCACCCTCTTCCGCGATATTTAAAATGGGACAGAGAGTAATTATTTATTTAATCCGCATTAATACTGAAAAAAAACTCTAAAATAATATGGGGCCTGTTTTAAACAAGGCCGCTCCATTCCACCGCCCTGCTCAGTGGTTATTAAGTTAGGGAAGTTGCAGTCATGGGAGCTCTCTCTCCCGCGCCTCATTGGCTTCCTCATGACGACTATGTACTAAAAAGCGCAGCCGAGGTAGTAATGAAAACGAAAAGCCTTTATTAAAACCGTTGGTTATACATATATATTGCCCGTTTCGTTTTATAATAAAAATATACTGTTTAGCTCTTGTTTGGGGATCATTCTCGTTGATCGGTTTTATGTTTTCCTACGAATGGTTATTTTTTCCACGCTATCTATTTCGTTTTGGTTTTGTATGGCGAGTGTCAGTGTTTAGTTTCATGGAACCTTTTTGTTTGTTTAGAAAAATGTGATTACTTTTCAGTTTTCACTTACAGTTCCTGCATGATTAGCTTTCCTTTTGGCGTTCTTGGGTCATGAAAATAAAATGGAACTAATTTGTTTTATCCTGAATGGAGATTTTTTCTTTTAGGTGAAAAAGTATGAAAGTTGGAGCTAATAGAAGGTGAAATTTGAAACAAATAACTCTCGAATCTTGATCAGGCCCTATGATATGCGAGGGCAAAATGTATATAATCATAGGAGATTGTTGATATTCATAGATTTATTTAAGTATTATTTTTTCATAGTTTTTTTGTGTCGATTTGGTTTTTCTTTATTTTTTGCAATGATCAGAGAATTTCATAATATTGTTGTTTTGCTCAATTCCTTTTTTGTTGGTTTTAGGCTGGTGCTTCATTAGAGTCACTTGCTAAAGGTGCTGTGCAGTTTTCCCGTCGATTTACTATTCAAGAATTGCACGAAAGATGGAAGTCTCTTCTATACGATTCAGTTGTTTCAGAACAGGCATCAGTCAACATGCTCCAATTTGAACGTTCTTTTTCACAGCCATCGAAGCATAATAATAGCAGCTTTGACAATGACAATAAAGACATCAATGTATCTGTTTTGGGGAAGAGACAAACCGAGAGTGTCAAAAGCTGCTATTATTCCATGCGAAAGAGAATCCGCAATGAAACATTCCTTCCTTCCATGGATATGGATTTTGTTACTGGCTGTTCTGGTAATCAAAGTAGTAGTAGTAATAGTAATAGGAATTGTAATGCTTGTGATCCTCCTCCACTACCGCTAGATTCTTCATTGTTTGGAATTTCATTGACAGATCAATTTGGTGAGTTTGAAGTCCAACTATTACATTCACCGTTTGGATATTCACCTTCGTCTGAGATGCCTCCACACTGTAATATGGGAAATGATTTCATGCTTCCTGTTGATGATGGAGTTATTATCCCATCAGAACCTTGCAAAATGGAGGATCAGATGGGAATTTCCACTCCTAGCACTGATGATCTCTTAGCACAAATAGATTCCATCCTCAACTCCACGAGTGACGATGATATGTTCCCAAAAGATAATATAAAAAACGAATCTTATTTGGACACTTACGGGTCACTTCTGTTGGACTTTCCAAACAATGGAGGAGAAGCAGAAAATGAAGAGAATATTGTATTACCATCCATGGAACAATCATCATCTCACAAATCTCAGTATCATCATTACGGTGGTGATCAAATGCTAATATCATCGGCTCTGAGTGTCAATCCCGCATGTCCGGAGCTGCGTAACGGGGTAATATGCTGTACCTTAAACACAGAGGATCCGGATATCCCTAGCAACGATGACGTTTTCCTTCCCGTCCTGATTCCATCAACACCTTTACCCTCTGCTATACTGTGCAAATATGACGAGACTTACCGTCCGGTGTTAAAAAGTGCTCCGGATATCCAAACAAACAACAACGGATGGTCTTACTCGAAGAAGATTGACAGAAGTAATGTGGTGGTACCCAATAATGGCCTAATAGTTTTACCTATTAGGGACACCTGGAATGCGGTAACGAGCAACACAAGCTTGAATGAAGGTCCTAAAGTAGTGATTTCACCGGGAAGAATAACCTGTACTAATACAATGTGTGACCTACCTGTAGTGGAAGGAAGTGATCACACAAAGAAGACTGTTACCATCCAAAGGGAATTAGGAGGTTCCAAGGATACTCCACAAAGGCAGGAATTTGGCTGTCCTCATGATCAGAGT